CTTGAGGCTGAACTCGGGCTCGGGCGCCCTGCGGGCGGCGGGCGGCGAGCGGGGTGGGGGGTGAGGCCGTGCCCTCCCCTCCCCGCTGCCAGGGTAGAGGCCTCCTAGATGGGGTTGGAACAGATGGGGTCGGGGGATCGCGCCGCATCGCCGATACATCGACGATGCATTGGCGATGCATCGGCGAATCATCGTCGACGTCCGCGACGCATCGGCAACGTCGGCGTGAAGCACATCGGGCCCCACATCGACCCGCATCTCCGATGCATCGGCGATGCGGCACGATCCCCCGGCCCCATCGATTCGGACCGCATCTAGGTGTGATATGGAGAATGATCGCTGATCGTTTTTGTTCGAGCGTCGAACAGGTGTACTTCTAGGCCAAGGGCCCTACATATATTGAAACCAATACGGCCGCAGGAGATAAGGGCGAGAGCAAGCAACCGCAGCAGAAATCTCTCTGGAGCGAGCGGAAGCGAGGCGGAAGCGGGGATTAGGAGCGAGGGAACCGCTAGGAGTCACACTCCTCCTGCACGTCTTTCGACGGCGCTCGCAACAGCGGCCTGAGAGAGACGGGCATATCATCGTCTCTCGCTTCAGCACACGGAAAGAATTATCGATATACATATAGAAACAGCGGCGGCGGTAAAGGCAGACAAACGGCCTGACACGGAGTGTAGCTGACGGTATTATCGAGATAAGATCTGAATACTGAACGTGTGCGATCGTCATCACATCTATGAAAAACTGTGCACACTGAATGAGGCTTCTCGAAACGCGGAAGTACATGTGGATCTTTAGCCGGGCGTAAAATCTGACCAGCAATGCGGACTTATATAAACCATAAACCAGGTATAAAATCTGAGCGGCAACGCGGACTAACGCATGAATAGCCGAATACGAAATCTGAGCAGCAATGCGGACATCACGTTGACTAGCCGGGTATGAGATCTGAGCAGCAGAATATTGCCAGTCCGATCGGCCAACCTGCCGTCCGAAAACCAAGCGGGGTTCACTTTTCCTTCTTTGGCTTCGTTGGTTTGTCCGTCAGGTCGGATCCTCGCCAGCAGTCTCTGCCTGTGAGCTTCCACCAGCAATCCATGAGACGGTTCATCACACTCTCCAGGAAGATCGTGAAATCGGGATTGCCGAAATGATAGCGCCGGAGCAGCCACGACGCGTGCTTCTTGCAGGTCTTGCAAGTGATGTAGACACTGTGTGGATTGTGGCCGATAACAACATCATGATGGGGAACTCCGGTCACACACGTGAGCATGTCATTCGGCTGCACTGCCGGTGAGGAGCCGCTCCACGATACAACACTAGCTGATGTGGCTGACACGGAACTCGGTGGACTCGTCACAGTGACATCGCTTGGTGACGCAGGGGCCGAACTTCCCTGCGATCTTGCTGATCTTGATCGTCCAGATCCCTGTGCTGATGTTGCGGTATATGGTGATGGCGGCGCGATGGCAGGTAGTGGTTCTGTCGGCAACAGCGGCGGCGGCGGCAGTTGAATCGCAGCCGATGCTACTGAACTCGATGCCTGCGCGCTGCTGAAAACGTCCGCGTGGGACATCGTGATGTCACCATCGCGATCACGGCCCCCTGGGATGGTAGGTGGTACGTTGCGGCGCCGGCCGAGCACGCGGCCGCCCCAGCCAGGGTGCTCGCCCATAGCCTTCGCCTTGGCGACGCTCTCCTCGGTGGCGATCGCGTTGTTCTGCCTCATGATCGCCCAGAGCGTCATGAAGATGCCGAAGCCGATAGTCACGCCGAGGACCAGCGTGAACGTCAGCAGGCAGATGTAGAAGGTGTAGTCCAGAATGGTCGGCGAGGGCGTGGGCTGCCCCTTGACCTCGCCGAGGCAGGCAAACAGGACCGAGGCGAGCATGGCGGCACGCGGCTGACGGGCCCCGTAGCTGTGCTTGCGGGCCCCGAAGAAAGACAGCAGGACGCCCACCTCCATCGCCTTCGTTAAGGCGTCCGCGACCATCATTAGCCCAGGTCGGGATCCAGCTGAGCTTGAGCGCACTGTTGGGGTGCACGGCCTCCTTGATCATGGAGGCGACGATGCGGAACCGCTTGTCAGTCGACTGGCCCACATCTGAAGCGATGTGCGCCACGAGACCCTTGCTGTCGCTGTAGATCTCCCCAGGGCGCTTGTCGGCGAGCACGTCGATATGCTTGAGCGCCGTCTTGGGGTTGCAGGCCTCGGTCAGCAACTGTCGGACCCAGATGTTGGTCTCCGATCCCTCGAGGGTGGCGTAGCCCTCGGCAGCGAGGGTCGACTTCACCGACCTCTTGACTGTGCCGGAGTGCCAGGCGACGGGCAGGCACAGGTCGCAACGGCCGCCGACGACGTCACGCGGGCGATGGGCGAGCCCCATCACCATGCCCCAGCATCTCTTGACGCCGTCCACGTCGGCGAACGCGGCGTCGCTGAAGCACACGGTGATGGCTGTCTTCAGGTCGACGAGCTTGCGCTTGAGCACGATCGCGAAGTTCGCGGTGGAGTGCACGTAGGCGACGGTCTTGTCGAGCGCATCCGCGTCGGCCACGGTAGCGACGTTGGCGCGGCGAGCTGCAAAGCTCACTGGGCAGGCGATGCCCACCCGGGCCTGCACCGCCAGCCACAGCAGCTGCCCAAGCGCGTGGCGGTATCTCGTCACCTCGGTGGCGGTGAGCCAGTCTTCAGCACCTCGGCCCTTCTGGGCCTTCAAGTCGACGTAGTCCACCTGCGCGGCGGCGGCGGCCTGGGTCACGCGGAACTCGTCGTCGAGCTTGGTAATCGCACGTCCGCAGTACTTGATGACCCCTTCGACCAGCTTGAGGTGCAGCTTCTTCCCCAGCGATGCGATCGTGGTCTTCCGCTTGGTGGAGTTATTGCGCTGGGCGATAAGGAAGTCGTCAACATGTGAGTGGACCACCGCGGCGAGTCCACCTTCGCCGTAGAAGAAGTAGAGGCCTTTCTCGAGCTTGCTCTCCACGAGACCGTGCTCGGCGAAGACCTTCTGCGCGTAGAGGTACCACTGCCTCCCAGCGTCGCGCGCCCCGTAGATCGCGCCTGCGGCCATCGCGATCTCGCCGGGCTGGGTTCCCAGCGGCGGGTTCTCGGCCGGCATGCGCAGGAGCAGTAGCCTCTCAATATTACCCGACTGCAGGTAGGCTGTCATCGCGTCGCAGGACGAGATGTCCCAGTCCTTCTGGGCCGCGGCGGCCAGGGTCAAGCACAGCGCGCCCCTGGACCCCGTAGGCGCGTCCGCCCTGATCTGCGACTTGTCCTCCTGGCAACCCTGCACGACCAGACGCGCCTTCATGACGTTCTGGCCCTTGCTGGTCAGCACCCAGCGCGCGCCCACAAGGCGGATGCCAGGGTTGCGCCGCAGGAGCTCCTTCAGCTCCTTGGGCGGGAGCTTCTTGCAGGCGCCGAACTCCGTCCACTTGGACCACCCGGTCTTCGTGGCGGCGCCCATGTTATTCTTCTCGGTGGCGCTCAGCGCGTCGTACTTGAACTCCTTGGCGGTCGCGTTGCCCGTGAGCAGTGCCTCACGGAATCGAGTACTTGCGTAGAGCTCGTCCGCGTGCTTCTGGAAGTAGTTGTCTAGGTAGAGGTCGACCTTGTTCGTGTCCTTCGGCCTCTTGAAGCACTTGGGCAAATCGTCCAAGAGATCCTTGCGCTTGGCAGCGCGATCGCGGGGGTCGAGCTCGCGCTGGCGGTCACGTTGCAGTGCCGCTGGTGCGTTCTCCTGTCGAACTTGGCGCTGCGTCTTGGTGCCGCGCTGGTTCTCGGCGCCCGGCGGGCGCCGCGACATCGTCTCCTGGCGCGCCTGCCCCTCCGCAATCTTGGCCCATTCTCGAATCATGTCCGAACCGTCGGACTCGATGTCGTCGTCGACCGGGCCCTAAGGGGCAGGTTCAGGATGTCGAAAATGCGGCAACAGCGGCGGAGGTGGCTGCAGGAGCGGCAGCATCGCCTGAGTCTGGCGCCGGCGGGTCAGCGGCCGCTGGCAGCGGGGCGGCGGCAGCGGCGGAGGCTGCTGCACGTCTCCTCCCGCAGGCGGCGGGGCCGGCCCCCCACTGCCGCTTTCTCCTCCACTGGTTGTGAAATCGCCGTCTCCTTGGCGGCGTGCCAGCCACTCGGCGTACTTATGAGCACGCTGGTTCGCTTCGGAGTGCTCGATGTTGCCGAAGTTGCGCTGCTGGAAGGCCGGTTGCTGATCGGGCGCTGGTAGCGCTGGCGGCACGGGGGGCTGACTGTCACTGCGGGGGCACTTCCGCGGTGTCGGTCCCGACAGGTCGAGGAACGCGTCGTCGTCAGCGTCTGGCGGCGCCGGTCCAGCAGGGCCTCCTCCTCCATCAAGATTGGGCGGCGGGGGTCCGCCGCCTGCGCCACCGCCGCCTCCTCAAAGGGCCTGGAGGAGGTGCGGACCCGGAGGTCCCTGGCGGGGCGCCTGGCGGAGGTCCAGGCGGCTGGTTGCCGATCAGCGCGTTCAGCACTCTCCCCGCGGAACGAGACCCGCGGCCGTGGCGCGGCGTAGGTGTCCACGATTGACCTTCACGGTCGTGGAGCGGCGGCTGGCCCAGACGTTCGAGGCGCCCTCGAACCCGATGATGACGGCGGGCCCGTGCCACTGCAAGGCCCATTCTCCTTTGGGCTTGCCGTTGCCCCTGCAGCAGTACACCTGGTCGCCCGCCTGCTAGACGTCGCCGGCGTGCTGAGCTCCATCTGCCCGAGATCGGGCCAGCAGCGCCCTTGAGAGGGACTGGTTGAACCTCAGGTGCTGTGTGAGCGGCCGCGGGCTGGTCGAACCTGATGCTGAACTGGTCGATCAGCTTCCTCGCGCGCACCTTCCACATTCCTCCATGTCGCTCCACGGTAGCGTTCTGCTGCGGCGTCGCCGCAGATGTCGTCATCAGGCGGCAACCCATGTCCTCGAGCTCCTCGGAGAACTCTCGCTCGAACTCGCCTCCCCCATCAAATATGACTCGCTGAGGCGCGCCGAAAGGCGTGATCCAAATCTGCAA